ATTTCTGTGGCTTCTCTCAGCTCACAACCAGCCCTTCCCTCTGGGCATTCCTTGTCTCTCATCTGCTTCACAGGGAAGACTCCCAGGTAACCATGTTTATATCAGTCAGGTCCTAGTTCAAATGCTACCTCCCTAGGCTTTCCAAACACCTGCCCACAATGCTCACTCCCAACAATGCATTCTGTTTTGTTTTAGCCACAGAACTTGTTAGTGGTTGCTTTATTTTCTTGTATAGTGTTTTCCTCTTTTTTTTTTTTTTTTTTGCTTTGTCACCCAGGCTGGAATGTGGTGGCGTGATCTTGGATGACTGCAAACTTTGCCTCCTGGGTTCAAGTAATTCTCCTGCCTCAGCCTTCCCAGTAGTTGGTATGACAGATGTGCACCACCATGTCCAGCTAATTTTTGTATTGTTAGTAGAGACGGGGTTTTGCCATGTGTTGCCATGCTGGTCTCAAACTTTTGGCCTCAAGTGATCCGCCTGCCTTGGCCTCCCAAAGGGCTGGGATTATAGGTATGAGCCACTGTGCCTGGCCTGGTTTTCTCTTTTCAGTGAGGGACTTTGTCATGTTGACTGTGTTTCCAGCACCGAGTATACTGAACCACACATACCATATGCACTCAATAAAGTACAGAACAAACAAACATGACCTGCCAACCCATGACGCCAGCTGCCTGTCCATAGCTAAGAGAGCCAGGGAGACCCTGAGCAAAGAAGTTCTAACGTTATTGTACAAGGATGGCACTATGATGACATAGAGAATAAGGGAGTGGCTGGATACATTTTGCTTTGCTTTAAAAACTGCCTTTGATATTTTGCTACATTTTCTTTAGCTAGCTGGTGGCCAAAAGGGCTGACTGTCATGGGGTGCAGGATGGTGGGGCGTCAGTTGATGGGTTCAGCATCAGTATTGCTGGGTAGAGGCCTGAGGGCGGTGCTTGTGGCCTATTTGTGGGCTGCATGGGTTGGCCCACCCTGTGGCTTTAATTCCTAAATAAATTTCACGGAACTGCTGATTCGTCTCACTTGCTTTCTTGAAGTACATTCACCAGCCCCACCTAGTTTTAAGAAAGCTCCTTAAGTGACCCAGAGGTCCTCCTGGGTGAGCAGCTCTTGTCTTGGGTCCAGTAAAACAACAGGGAGCAGGGGCAAACAGTCCAAAGGGTGTCACAGGAGCAGGACACCAGCTGTTACTTAGAAACCGAGGGAGATTAAGCTGATGCAAGAGGACTGGGCAAAAACCCAGAGACCAGACCACAGAACGGCCCAGAGGCTTTCTCAGACTCCAGCAGCAAACAATCCTATCCCCTGACTCCACCCCAGCTTCTCCTGCACTCCTGCCTCTGGCTTAGGGTACCTGCAGACAAACCTCAGCTTCCTGGGCCAGCACACTGTCTCTATGCTAGGTGTGTAGCGGGGACTCTTCATCTTTGCAGCTGTGTGGGTAGGGGTGGCCCCGGGCAGAGGCGGTGGGACCAAGCAGCCTCCCTGAGGCTCTCTGGGAAGCCTGAAGGCTGACGCCCTCACTGCTTTGCAGTCCGGGCTGGAGAGCTTTGACATATTTGTGCAGTGGATCATCACGTTACCTCACCATGGACCCAGCTGCCAGCATCTCCAAAATGCAGGGGAAATTGAAGAAACGAGCCAAAGGGGACTGACAACCTCTTTTCCACTATTAAATAAAATTTGTAGGAGGCCATCGGTTTGGACTAGGCTTCTGTTCCTGGCCCAACAGACTGAACCAACATGGAATCATCCATACTAAATGAAACAAACAACGTGGGTGTACACCGTAACAGATGGCTGAGTTTGGGTAGTTACAGCAGCTGAGCTTAAGTCAATGGTAGGTGGCCAGCTGATTCATGTAAGGCTGTAACTAATTAACCTCTGTTCCTCACTGCTGTTTTCTAAACATAAATAGTGCTTGACCACGTGGCTTATTCTTCAAACATTTTCTGGTCCTGAGGTCTGCCCAATTCTAGAGTCATGAATAAAAGCCAATGAAGATCTTTAAATGTGTTGCAATCTGGTATTTTGGACACCATTAACTTAGAAAGCTCTAAGGAAGATTCCAGAAATCAGATTTGTCTGAGAACTCAACCCTGTACCCATGTGCAATCATTTGTGAATTTGTGGAATTCAGGTTGTTATAATACAATAGAAAGCTAAGAGTGATTTTCCAACTCTAAAAGTGGTTAAATCCTGAATTACTTAGGAATGTTCCCATCTTTACACATCTTAAAAGTAGAAGACCCTTCCTTCCTTCCCTCCTTCCTTCCTCCTTCCCTCTTCTCTCTCTCTCTCTCTCACAGGAACGAACTCTGTCACCCAGGCTGGAGTGCAGTGGCATGATTTTGGCTCACTGCAATCTCCTCCTGGATTCAAGCAATTCTCCTGCCTCAGCCTCCAGAGTAGCTGGGATTGCAGGTGTGTGCCACCACACGGGCTAATTTTTGTATTTTTAGTAGAGATGAGGTTTTACCATATTGGTCAGGCTAATCTTGAACTCCAGCCTTAAATGATAAGCCTGCCTTGGTCTCCCAAAGTGTTGGCATTACAGGCGTGAGCCACCATGCCCAGATGGAAGAAATATCTTTTTACCTGGATAACTTCTGTGTATGTTCCAGGCTGCTCAAAAGGTGGAAATCACTAGACAATCTAAGTTTGTAAATACCTTTGCACCTCGAATTCTTGAGATGCTACTCCTACATAATGTACTTTCTGTTTTATGTTTTTGGGTCTTTTTTTGGAGAGACAGTCTTGCTCTGTTGCCCAGGCTGGAGTGCAGAGGTGCAATCATGGCAAAGCGCAGGCTTGACCTCCCAGGCTCAAGCAATCCTCCCATTTCAGCCTCCCAAGTAACTGAGGACACAGGCATGCACCACTACATCCAGCTAATTTTTGCTGTTTTTGGAGATATGGGGTCTCGAAATGTTGTCTAGGCTGGTCTTGAAACTTTTGGACTCAAGTAATTCTCCTGTCTTGGCCTCCCAAAGAATTGGGATAACAGGTATGAGCCACTGCACCTGGCCCTGCTTTTAAAGACTGAAGTCTTTATTTTTAAAATGTGGCTCCAGAGGTTACATAAAGCACAAAAAGTAAGCCTCATATTGCACATCAAGGCCTATTAATTGGCAGTAGCTGTCTGGAGCGCTGTGTTCTCAGGCCACATCTGGGTACGGCAGGAAACAGTGCTGGGATAAATTAGCGATGGCTGCCACGGATGCGTAAGTAGGGGATGATGGCTCTCATGCCACATATTTGATACCCTGAGTTAAATGGAGAGGCATCTTTCAGACTTCTATACCAAGTGTTTCTTAGGAATCTGGGAAGCGGATGATTCACAGAGTTAGAAGATAAGAATTTGTTATCAATGGTTTCCCCCGAGGAATCAGTAAGGTAGCTTCCTCAGAGACAAGTTTGTTATCTATTGATGATGTCTTTGATCTTGCCAACAGTGAGAGATCCCACTCTCCACTCTCTGATTTGAGACTCAGGATTTTGTTCCTGCTTAAAAGCCCACTCCGTCACTTTCATGGATTTGTTCCTGGATACTATTCTAGCCTCTCAGTGGTCTCCTAGCCTTACCTTCTTGCATCCATTTTCCATAGGGATGATGGAGTGAGCTTTCTAGATCGAAATACTGATTACGCCTGCCCCTTCGGTAGTTCCCATCACTCACAAGGCAGTTATTTGCTCCTACGTATGATGTGTCTTGATCTAGCCCTTGCTTGCCTCTCCATCCCCATCTCTCGTCCCTCTTTTCCTTGGCACTTTATGTCACAGCCACGTGGAGTTATGTGGTTTTCCCGATCTTCAACACTTGAGGCTTCTCTGGTATGGCGTGCACCCCCACCTCAGACACTCAGCTGAGTCCTCCTGATGCCACCTTCCTGGATCATTTCCTTCCCCTTTCACTGGAGGAAAGGGCCCTCGTCACATACCCTGTTTGCTCTGATCCTGTTGTGTGATCACACATTTGTCTCTCTCTCCTACTGAAACCCTATGCTCTGCAAGGACTCAAGAATCTTATTTATGTGCATCCAAACCACTAGTGCAATTGATGGACTACAAGTGCCTGATACATAGTTACGAGACGAGTGGGAGGATGAGGACTGGGCACTTTTCCCAAATTCATGAAATTGACAGTGACTCAGCAGAGAGCTCACGATCACTAAATTGATATACTCATTTCCTCACACTATTCTCATTGCTTTACCTAATGACCTGCTTTCCTGGCCCCATATGCAGCTCCTTCTAAAAATATTAGTTATCACAAGAAATTGAGGCAGAGGGGCCAAGTGCCAATTGTGAATGACGTAAAATTCTAGAATTTCGAAGTCACCGACTTTTAGTTCTAGTGAATAATCTCATAGTCCAGAGTCAGTGGCGGAACCTATGTCTCATCCACGCCTCCTTCCTCCCTGCCTCCTCCCTTCCTCTCTTTCTTTTTTTGGGAAAAAAGAGTTGTTTTCAGCAACTATAAAGGCATCTGTGAAAATTATATGACCAACATTTTATGGTCTATATGATGACAGATATTTAATTTTTATTAAGATAAAAGTGAAGAGTAAGGGATTCATATTTTGGTCCAAATTCTTCTTGTTTTTTCTTTGAGACAGGGTCTTGCTCTGTTGCCCATGCTGGAGTGCAGTGGCACAGTCTCAGCTCACTACAGCCTCCACCTCTGGGGCTCGAGCAGTCCTCCCACCTCGGCCTCTTGAGTAGCTGGGATTATAGGCATGTGCCACCACGCCCAGCTAATGTTTTGTAGAGACAGGGTCTCATTATATTGCTTAGGCTGGCCTTGAACTCCCGGGTTCAAAGGGTTGGGGTTCCAGGCGGGAGCCACTGCGCTGGGCCTTTAGGCCCCCGTGCGACAGCTGCGCAGAGTTCTAATTCTCAGATCCGTTAACTAAAATGTTCTCAACTTTTTCTTTTTCCTTGAAAAAAAGAAAAAGATAACTGGCCCCTTTCAGAGTGGGAAAGGGAAGCGACTCGCCTTGTGTAGCTGTGTTTTTGTCTCGTAGTAGGCGATCACGGGGATGGACGCTCGGTAGTAGGCTTCCAGGCGCTTGGCGATGGTCTTGGTGGTGTCGTCCGCGTGCGGGCTGCTCTGGCTCTTTTGGAGAAGGCGGTTGGTCATGGTGTCTGCCGAGCAGTCCATGCAGATCACCAAGTGTGGGTCTCCAATCTGGGGGTGGGAGTAGAGCATGACACAGTCAGAAAGCTCACCCTGCCCACATTGTGGAAAGGCCCAGGGCCTCTGGTTTTTCCTTTCTTGGCTTTCTGGTTCCCCTCAAGGCCCCAGCATTACACTGTGGTTCAGGGGGCCTGGACTCCATGGACCCCCTCCAGGTCAGCTCCTTTCCACATGCTGCCTCAGGGCTGTCTCTTGCCCTCAGCGTTTAGGTCCCCTCAAGTCATGCAGGGGCGTCTGTGCCCCCCACTGCAGCGCTGTCTGTCTTCTGCACTGAGCAGAAAGGAGTATGCGTGTGCGAGGGGGTGTTTCCTTCAGTGTGAAGCCTTCCCTGACCACCTGAGGCAGAGCTAATCACTTCTCCTTCAAGCCACCAGGATCTCTTATACCAGCCACCAGTGGCGCACTGTGGCTGTGCCGGTACTGTCAGCTGAGTGGAGCATAAAGGTTGAGCGCACAGGCTGAGTCAGGCTGCCTAGGTCAAACCCTGGTATCTTGACTTGTCTCCAAGATGGGCTTCATCAGTTCGTTACCTTGCTTTACTTGTCAGCTACTGTCCCACCAAGACACAGAAACACCTGGAATCTGACCTATAACTGTTTTGACCAACAGACCGTAATGGAAATGGTGCTCCATGCTTTTAGAGTCTAGGTTTCAAGAAATTTTGCAGTTTCTGTCTGGTTTTGTGGACCACTTGCTGTAGTGCGGAGTCAGCTGCCATCTAAGATGTCCGACTATCCTGAGACTGCCAGGCTCCAAGGAAGCCCAACTTAGCCACGTGGAGGGGTCATGTGGACGGAGATGCCCGACCAGCCCCCAGCTGTTTCAGACATCCCAGCCCTGGCTCCAGACATGCATCTCATCCCCAGCCACTGTCTGACTGCAATTGCATAAGGAACCCCAAGTGAGAACCAGCCTGCTGAGTCCCTCAACCTCCAGAACCATGAGAGATAACAGCAAATTGTTCTTTACAGTTTTTATTTTATTATTATTTTTTTGAGATGGAGCCTTGCTCTGTTGTCAGGCGGGAGTGCAGTGGCAGGATCTCAGCTCACTGCAACCTCCGCCTCCTGGGTTTAAGCCATTCTCTTGCCTCAGCCTCCTGAGTAGTCGGGACTACAGGCACCCGCCACCACACTCAGCTAATCTTTGTATTTTTAGTAGAGACAGGGTTTCACCATGTTAGCCAGGATGGTCTCGATCTCTTGACTTCGTGATCCACCTGCCTCGGCCTCCCAAAGTGCTAGGATTACAGGTGTGAGCCACTGCACCTAGCCTATTTTATTTTTTTAAGAGGTGAGATCTCACTCTGATGCCCAGGCTGGAGTGCAATGGCTACTCACAGGCATAATTATAGTGCACTACGGTCTTGAACTCCTGGACTCAAGTGATCCTCTTGCCTCAGCCTCCGGAGCAGCTGGAACTACATACGCATGTCCCTGTGCCTGGCTTCAATCTTGTTCTTTTAAACTGACTTCCTCATTAACTAGAAGCCTGACCTAGCTGCTCTGCCTCTCAGTTTTCTCATTCATACAATGAGGATGGTCACAGGATTGCTGTGAGGATGAAATAAAATTAAATAAGTAATGTATGTATGCTCCTTGGCATACGGCAACATTCACTAACTATTCACTATCACGCTCATTTCCTCTATGAGGGTTAGGTTCCCCGTGTGCAGGGATTAAGAATTCTCCGCTCCCAGTCCCAAGTCTCGCACACTGTAGGTGGTGAAGAAATGTTTTCATGAATGAATGATGCTGGTAGGAGTCTCCCCATCTCCCTATCCTTCTCTTACATGTTGTCTCTGGGACATGCTTACTTTGCCTCCTCCTCCAACCCTGGATCAAAGGAAACCATTACTCCCCACGACCCTGCGGCATTCAAGCTGTGAGTAGATGAAGGCTTGCCACCACTGTAGAAAGTGTGTGAGGTGAGAGGAGAACAAAGTTCAGTCAAGAAGAGGATGCTTAGGCGGCACAGAAAACTCACAGCATCGTGAGTTGCCAGACAATGTTGGTTGAACATTTATCTAACTCCTCTGAGGGGTGGACTTTAAGGAACAGAGTGGAAGCATTCTCCAAAATCTACAACAGTGCAATAAACCTCTGGAACAGGTCATGAGACTTTCTGTCTGTATTACATGTAAGGAAAAAAAAAAAAAAAGCATTTGTGCAGCAAGGAAGGTTGGGTGAGGGTTTAGGAGAAAATGACCCTTGTTCACCAGCAGAGGGCGAGCTTGGGAGGCGGCGGAATGTTCTCCCTTGAAACAACTTCGGGTTAGGGCTGCAGGAGGCAGCCAGGTGATTTCTCCAGTCGTGGGGTCATTTTCAGGCTACTCGTGATAATACAGTAAAGATAATTCAGGGATTCAGGGACACGGGTACAAACAGAGATTATGTGTCACTGAGCAGGAGCCGGCAGCAAATGACCTGTTAGACCAAAATATGCAAGGGGCAGAGAGGTAGCTGCTTCTTCCACACTGATTCCCAAAGTGTGGCCCGTGGACCAGCAGCATGTCATTTGGAAGCCTGTTAGAAACGCAGAATCTCAGGCACAACACGTGACCTGCTGAAGCAGAATCTGCATTGTGTGTGTGTGTGTGTGTGTGTGTGTGTGTGTGAGTCTCTTGCTCTTTCAGCTGGACTGCAGTGGTGTGATCACTGCAACCTCTGCCTCCAGGGTTCAAGTGATCCTCCTGTCTTAGCCTCCCAACTAGCTGGGATTACAGGTGTGTGCCACCACACCCAGCTAATTTTTGTATTTTTAGTAGAGATGGGGTTTCACCATAATGTCCAGGCTGGTCTTGAACTACTAACCTCAAGTGATCTGCCCGCCTCATCCTCCCAAAGTAATGAGATTACAGGGAGAGCCACTGCACCCAGCCCAGAGTCTACATCTTAACGAGATCCCTAGGTGAGTCTACACACATCAGTTTGAGAAGCTACTCTGCCACGTCATTTTCTTGTGCCAAAACTAGGGGGTTTGACCTAACCTCTCTCTCCTGCAATCAGCACTCTCTTCCTACATAAAATGCTACTGAGCAGCTATTCTATTTGGAAGTGACCTGAACCATCTGTTTTTAGTACCTAAAATTTTTTGAAATGTTTAAATGAGATACCATTTAATTCTTTTCAAAATGCTTTGCTATGTATCATTAGAAAGTCCCCTGGAGTAGCTGCCTGGCTCCCAGCTCTGCCCTGTTTTCACCAGACTGTGGTTGGTCTTTAACATCAAGTGAGCAGGTGAACAGAGAACTCTGCCCTTGGCTGAATGAATCAGAGATCTGGGGATATTGTCCTGCCCTCAACATCACTCCTCTGGCACCCTGGAGATCTGCCATCAGCATCATTGGATTTTCCAATGGCCTTTGGTGTTCAGGGAACCTTAGTTAGAGCACAAGTACCCCTAGAAAGGCTGCTGAGATGCCATCAGCAACATTTCAGCAGCTGACTAAGCTTCACTGTGCTAAGGGCTTTACAGACAGCCATCCCTTAAGCCTCTGGCACCCTTGCCAGGAAGTATGATTATCCACACTTTAAGAATGAGGAAATGGAGGCCCTCAGAAGTTAACCTTCCCAAGGTCACTAGAGACTAGTGAGTGACAGGCCTGAAGCAGCTGCATGTAACCCCAAAGCCTGGTGACCTCACCCCGAGGGAGGGAGCCAGTGCCTTCAGAATGCGGCTTGGGTAAGAAGCTGGGTGGGCCAAATGGAGCCCTGCTGCGGGAAAGGGAGCAACTGGGATGGGGTACCCACTCACTTATTTTATTTTTCAGAAGTGGCCTCTGCTGCCTCTTGGGATCTAGTGGGACCACACTCATCCTTGCACCCCTCCGGGCATGAGAGAAGCCCACCAGCCTGAGGATATCAGCATCATGGACGATGATCGTGGTTGTGCCTTGGTCATTCCAGCAAGCGGAGGAGGAGGAGAAGTTTGCCCTCCTGCCCTCTGACTCCACCCCCACCCGAGTGTTCTTCTGATTAAGTCAGAATGGGGGTTAGGCCACGTTTACCAGTGGGCAGGAGGAGCTCTCCATGCCAACCAGGAACTCTCTTTGTTGAGAATAACATCTAATTCTTGATGTGTGCCTTAGTTTCCTCATTCAAAAACGAGGATAATGAGAGTGTTTGACTCACTGGACTACTGTGAGGGTTGAATGAGTTGGTGCATGTGAAGTCCCTGACCCACTTCAAACACTACATAAACCTGAGCTAATGTTATTTTAGGTGGGCGTGGCCACACTGTCATCCTTTGACCTGTGAAGTCTCCTGTTGGTCAGGTTTAGGTCTAGAAAGAGTCAGCGGTCTCACACAGACTTGTGTTTTAAGTCATACACTCCTGCGTGTCTACCAGTCTCCCTGCACTGGCAGGAGAGGGCCCTGGCTGAGAAGAAAGTGGCGTGCTTGCTTCTCATTTGTTCTCACCTTGAGGTGTGTCCCCGTGGGGGAAGGAACCTCACTACAGAAGGAATATCTGGGTCATGCCAGCATTCCTGAACACACAACCCTAATGATAATAATACTGCTCAATTGATGTATGCCTTCTCCCCTAATGCCACCATTATGCAGCTCTAAGTTCTGCAGTGAACCAGAAATCAGAAGAGGAGAAAAATCTTCAGTGGAAAATCCTATGTGGCCTCCAGGGCTTCCCACAATTCTAAACAACTAGAACACACCGACTGGCCATTCCCTTGGTCAGACTCAAACTTTGTGTGCAAACTATATGTGCGCACACATATACGTGTGTTAAGAGCTCATTCTGAAGATTAGAATATATTTAGAAACACCGGTTCTGTTGATGAAGTGTCAGGAGGTAGTTGAGAGTCATGAGGCAGAGGTATCCCTGTGAAGCCATCATTCACACATCCTAGAGAGTTATGTGCATATCCTGGCTAAAGGCAGAATTTCAGCTAAGTGTCTTTTGGGAGGGAAAAGCCAAGAGCAAACACATGCATTCTACTTCTGTTAATATGTGTTTAAATTGGCTGGTGTTGA